GAGCCATTAAATCGGACTATTGATGTGTTTCCTTACTTCATGTCTATCTTTTTATTTCATTATTATTATTACTATTTTTTTGCTATTTTTTTGTTTTTAGCAGTTGAAAGAAACTTTTGAATTTTAGAGGTTGATAGTTTTTTTTATTATTGAAATGAAATGTTTTTAATTCGAAAAAATTTTCTTAGTTACATAAACTTTTTTTTGAGCTAAATTAAGTGCTTTTTTATTTCGACAGGAATTGTAAATAGTGTTTTTGAATGAATAGTTTTTTTCTTTTTTTAAGCAAATTAATTGTAAATAGGATTTTAATAGTTAGCATTGTTGTTAATAAAATTTCTTCATTATTATTAATTATTATTATTATTATTATTATTATTATTATTATTATTATTATTATTATTATCATTATCACTAGGGATATGTGTTTCCCAGGTGGGGGAACACATATCACTAGGGATATGTGTTTCCCAAGTGGGGAAACACATATCACTAGGGATACGTGTTTCCCAGGTGGGCGAACACATATAACTAGGGATATGTGTTTCTCAGGTGGGGGAACGCATATCACTTGGGATATGTGTTTTCCAAGTGGGGGAACACTATCCCTAGAGATATGTGTTTCCCAGGTAGGGGAACACATATGGCTAGGGACATGTTTCCCAGGTAGGGGGACATATATCACTAGGGATATGCGTTTCCCAGGTGGGGGAACACATATCACTAGGGATATGTGTTTCCCAAGTCGGGGAACACATATCACTAGAGATACGTGTTTCCCAGGTGGGCGAACACGTATCACTAAAGATATGCGTTTTTATAGCCTAGAAAGGTGTTTTTTCGTTTAGAATATCGTAAAAGACATTTTGCGACATAAAAGACATTTTTTTATATTGCCTAAAAAAAAAAAGTTGGAAAAATGTCAATTTTTTGACTTTTTGAACGTATTTTTCTGATAGCCTAAAATGGCGTTTTTTCGTTCTAGAATATCGTAAAAGACGTTTTCCTGGCGTATATTGCCTAAAAAAAAAAGTTGGAAATATGGCCATTTTTGGACCAAAACCATGGGTTAACCCCTTTGGAAAATGTCAATTTTTCGACTTGTTGAACCTCTTGTTTTTATAGCCTAGAAAGGTGTTTTTTCGTTCTATAATATCGTAAAAGACATTTTCCTGGTCTATATTGCCTAAAAAAAAGTTGGAAAAATGGCAAGTTTTTGATCAAAACCATGGGTTGACCCCTTTGGAAAAATGTCAATTTTTCGACTTTTTGAACTTCTTGTTTTTATAGCCTAGAAATTCGTTTTTTCGTTCTAGAATATTGTAAAAGTCACTTTCCTGGCCTAGATTGCCTAAAAAAAAGTTGGAAAAATGGCTATTTTTGGACCTAAATTATGGGTTAACCCCTTTGGAAAAATGTCAATTTTTCGACTTTTTGAACTTTTTTTGTGTAGCCGTGAAAGGCGTTTTTTCGTTCTAGAATATCGTAAAAACATAATCTTTTTTGAGATAATTACGACAAAAAAACAGACATAAGAAAAAGTTTGATTTTTGGACAAAAACCATAGACTAACCATAGACTAAACCTGTGGAAAATATCGATTTGGTTGCACTTTCTAAAAGTTTACTTTTCTGGTGAATTTTTTTTTTTTTTTTTTTTTTTCTTAAAAAAAAAAAAAAAAATTTTTTTTTATTTTATTTAGGAAAAAAAAAAAAAAAAAAAAAAGTTTAATTTTGGAAAAAAAACAAAAAGCGAACCCCCTTGGGAAATGTTTTTTTTTGCGCCCATTTCAAAACGAACCTTTTTTGGGCTAAACAATCTTCTTTTTTACCCCAAATTTAAAAAATTACGCAACTACCTCTCGCATCTTAAACCAACTGACAGTCTATTCTTTTTCTTACTACCGTGTCACACCCCATCGCTACCTCTTTTTCCAAAAGGTGTTTTGTGTTTGGCGGTATTTTTTTGGTTGGGCGAGAACTAATTTTTGTTATTAGGTTTGATTGGTTTTTTTTTTTGGTTGTTTTTTTTTTTTTTTTTTTTTTCTCTCTAGAATAGAAAAACATAATCTTTTTTGACCTAATTACAGCAAAAAACAGACATAAGAAAAAGTTTAATTTTTGGACAAAAACCATAGACGGACCCCTTTGGGAAATGTTGATTTTTCGGCACATTCTAAAACGTCACTTTTCTGGTCTAACAATCATTCTTTTCTATCCAGAATATTAAAAAATGATCGTTTTTGACATAAATGCTGCAAAAAACACAAAAAATATAAAGTTCGATTTTTGGACAAAATCCATGGACTAACCCGAATTTTTGGCGCTATTGAAAACTTTAATTTTCTGGTCGAAAAATCATCCAATGCTTTTCAGAATATGAAAAAATAATCTTTAGTGACATAATTTCTGCTAAAAAAAAAATATGAGAAAAGGTTCGATTTGTGGACAAAAACGATGGACTAACCTCTTTAGAAAATGTCGATTTTTTGGGTAAGTTTAAGACTTCAATTTTCTGGGCTAAAAGGAAAGGAGCATAGCAGAAATCTATGGCAAGGAGTGTTCCACCCTCTTTCGTTCCACGGTAAGGGTATGGTTGTACTTGAGGGTAAATATTTATTTCGTCACAGCGCATTTTCAGCGTACACGTGAGAATGGGTAGATGGTGTTTGGAACTGAATTACAGACTGAACTGGTTTCCACTTTTAAAGGCCATTACGTGGTCAGGAACTCAGCTCATCCAACCCCGTGTCATCACATGCAACCTCACAAACGCCTTCCCAGTGATCAGTATAAGACACGGAGAAACAGAATATTGCAAATCGTAGAACATACTCATGGCTTATATTTTCTCTTTTCAAGTATACACGTACAACGGTCAGAACCCCGATAAGTCTTTCATACAGGAAAATCTTTTTACACGATTTATTTATCACAAAATTCAGTCTTTTCTTGTTTGGTTGTCTTGCCAATCAACAATACAAGATCAGATGAAAGTATATTATATTCTCGGTTTTTATTTTTTTAGAAAATTATATGAAGAGGTGAAAGCAATAAGCCGGCAACAACCAGGGCAACCACGGTAATCCAGGTGACGCCATTCAAAGAAGATCTGTTGGCTGTAAACGGAAAAAAAAAAGCATAAGCAACAAGTTAGAGTTGAACAAAGCACTTATGTGTGCTTTTTTGTAACACATTAGATGTAGATGGCACATTTTTATATCATAATTTGAATTATGTAAAACTAAAAGGAAAAATACATTTATCAAGTTGTGTTATTACCGATACAAATGTATTCGCCATCTCCATGGTAACCTTTAGGGCATGTGCATCTGAAACTGCCTTGTAGATTGTTACACGTTGCGTCTTCTGCGCATGGCCACTCGCCTGTTTTGCATTCATCAATGTCTGAATGGAATCCACAGAGAGTTATTATCTGAATGGTTTGTTTTGAATTTAATTCTCAACAGGCAATGAGCTTTGATTAATATTTGTTAATGTACGAGGGATGAAGGCATAAAGGAGTTTAGCGACACAGAATGATATAAGATGAAATAAAACGCAAAAACGTTTTAGAAATATAGACAACCATTTTTCAGTGCGGGATGTGTTGGTGTGAGTAAAAATTATGTTGAATGGCATTAAAAGGTTGAGCAGTGTATCAACAACAAATGTGTGCAGGAGAGACGGGGATGTTCTGTTAAATACGCTAGAAGATGAGTCACATACAAGGCTTCCCTTCTCCTCAAAACAAAAATTACATCAATATTGCCACCGTTTATGTTAAGAGAATGGGGTAGTTCACTAAAATTTACATTAAATTTACACGGGGGACACAGGGGACACAAGGGACACAGGGGACACCGGAAACACAACGGACGTAGGAGGACACAAGGGGCACCAGGGACACAAGGGAAAACAAGGGACACAAGGCGAAACAGGGGACACAAGGGAACACAGGGGACACCAGGGGACACAGGGGACTCAAATGACACAGGTGACACAAGGTGCAGAAGGAGACACAGGGAAAGACAGGGGACACAGGCGTCACAGGGGGATCACAAGGAACTTAGAGGACACAAGGGACACAGGGAACACAAGATGACACAAGGGGCAGTGGACACAAGGGACACAGGTGGACACAGGGAACACAAAGGGACACAAGAGGACACAAGGGACACAGGGCACACAAGGAACATAGAGGACACAGGGAACACAAGGGACATACCAGGACACAGGAGACACTAGGGGACACAGGGGACATAAGGGACACAGGGAACACAAGGGACACGTGACACAAGGGCACACAGGGGAGACATAAGACACAAGGGAACACAAGGAACACAGAGGACACCAACGACACAAGGGACACAGGGAGACACAAGAGACAGGGGACACAAAGGGACACAAGGGACACAGGGGACACGGGACATAAGAAGACACAGGGGACAAAAGGGACAAAGATAGACACAAGAAACACAGGGGACAAAAGGGGAAAAAAATAGACACAAGGGACACAGGGAGACACAAGGAACACATAGGACACAGGGGACAGTGGCAACATAAAGGAAACAGGGGACACAAGGGGACAGAGGGGCCATAAGGGACATGCGGGACACAAGGGTCACAGGTGAAAGGGATGACACAAGTTCAAGCAAGGGGACACGGGGGACACAAGGGACACGGGAGGACACAAAAACACAGGGGACACAGGGGAAAAAGTGACACAAGGGACACTAGGGACATAGGGGCCACAGGGGACACAGGCGACACAAGGGACACAGGGAGACACAAAGGACACAAGGGACCCAGGGGGACATAAGAGACACAGGGGACTCTAAGTCGGCTGTACGAGTCTAGTTACATCAACGTGGGGAGAAACACAAGCGATCAACAATCGGCAACCACGTAAAGGATGAGCATGGTAACTAATAAGTCATGACCCACTAACTGACTTTCTGTTCTAACGTTTTCATTTCGATTTTCCCTGAATCAAGTCTTTCATTCATAATTTCCTTTACCTTTACACTGTTTTTCTTCCTTGTCAAACTGAAATCCTTGATCGCATCGACATAAGTAATCACCATCAGTATTCTCACAACGGATGAAATTGTGCCTTCCACAGGGCATGGTCAAGTTGCTGCATTCATCAATATCTGAAATCAAATTTAGATAATGAATATGAACAAGAACCAAAGCCAAAAACTCAAGAACAATTTTTTTTTTCTATTCTAGAAATAACCAAAGATTAGTGAGTGCGACAACGATCAGAGTGGGTCCCAACGCTTTTGCTGTAACGCTGTGCTTTGCTTGACCGGTGCAAAAGCTCAACGCTGAGTACTTCAATTCTTGCTAATATCACCGGACGAAAAAAATAAATTTGCACAAATTTGCTTGTGTTTTAACCCTTGGACGTACACGAAAATTCATACCCCCACCGTGGTACAAGGAAGGCGGAGGGAAGAATGGAACCCCTCCGCGGAGTTTTTGATATGTTGCAGTGTTTCGAAACGATTTTACCTTCAGTGGAAAGCCTTTGATCTTCTTAACAAGATGAGGTACATTTCATGGGTGGTGACGCTGCTGAAGACCTGTGACGTCACCAACAATGGTCGCCATCTTGGCCGCCATCTTGGATTTTACCAAGAATTAGAAATCAGGTTAAAAACGGGAGAAATGGTGTTTTTTTGTGCTTTATATGAGAAATAACACATAAATAAGCACTTTGCATGATTCTTTTTTTGTTGAAAGAAGTGGAAAAACATGTATTTTCGCCCAAAAATGGCTTGACCACCTGCTACTTATGACATAGTGTCTCGTAACCATACATGTACCTATGGGAGGTTTTCCTTTTTCGGCAAGATCTTTGACAAGCTCACCTTCGCATTTATTTTTCGCTACATCGATAAGATAGTAGCCCTGATCGCAAGAACATTTGTAGGATCCATGAGTGTTCGTACATCTTTGACCGTAGTCGCATATCCTGTCAAGAGTACACTCATCTAGATCTGAAATGGGATTAATTTATCCCGTCATCTAACACCAATAAGATAAGCAATTCCGTGATTCTTACCCCAAATTAATTTTCTACCGACATTTAATTTGGAAGTCTTGACTCTTCTGATTTATCCAAGGCTCTCCGCTCTATGCCTAGCCTATTCGTACATGTATACATCCGACTGAAAAAGCGTTGTGGCCTGAAAAGTCTTAACCACGAACGATGGGACCTTTAACGGATTTAAGGATATTTAGCTTTGCTCTTTTCAGAAATGCTTACATTAGGTGCAGTTACACGGGTCACTTTTCCCGTGGTAAATGACCCTTTACCGCGGGAAATAGTGTGAGTGTGTGTGACCGTAGTTAGTAGAGGAGACTGGTTAGAAAACCCGGCAAACATCAAAGTTGAAAACAATGGTGCTGTAGGTTATGTTGAAAGCTCCCTGACCGTGCACAATCCTTTGTTTTCTGTTCACAAATTATGACTGAATAAATTAATGCAATGTTTCCATTGGTCACTAACTTTTAAATGATAGGAATGCTATTGAACGTTGTGCACGGTCCTGTCCAAAAAAGCTAACAAAAATCTATAACAAATGGTTTCCCAACCATTCCACTTTAACACTTTGCGATCTGTTTTGATGGCTGGATTTCGCCACTATTCACTATTAGTTACTATTTCAAAATTGCCTTCAGACGTTTGCTTACAAACCAGATAGTTTGAGCAAACGTTTATATTTTTTGCTAGGCAAATTCGAATTTGGATTCACTCGTTTGTTCACTTGATTCTGAAAATTCAGAAATTCAACGTGGGCCATCTGGGTTATGTTTTCCTTTTTATCCTGGATATCAACAGTCCTTGAAGTGTTTCCCGGGAAAATAGTTGCGTGAAAACGAAAATCAAGCGTGGTAAATAAACTTACATGTTATCACGAGTCACCTTGGTAAAGTTTATCCGCGTAAAAATTTCCTGTGGTAAATTTACCTCGGGAAAGACCCTTTACGATGGTGTGTGTAACCGCACCTATTACTGATGCTTTTCGCAACGAAGCATTCCAATAAACTTCAACCAGTTCCCATGCAGTTTTCATGACGATAAGCTGCACAACTGTGCTGGACACATAAGAGACGACTATTAGTTAAAGAGCGTGGCCATATCGCCAACGCACACTTGAACATCATCAGATAGGACCTATAAGCTTTCTTGGAGGACAAGAAAAGACAGCAGGATTGCAGTACTCTAAGGATTTGCATCGGCTCGAGCAACTGGTGACAATGTAAAAGTTTTTTGAAAGAACTTCGAATTCGCTTTGCTTTGAATGTATACCCATAAATACTTGAAGCTCCATCGTTCACGGTTTATACTGTTTTTTAGCGACAACGTTTTTTTCAATCGGGTAATACCTTATTCTCTCGATCTAGCAACTGTTTTAGGGATGTTTATACCTGAAATCTATCTTTTAATGGTGGAGTTGCCATGACGAACGGCGACAAAATATTCTCGGCAAGAGTGTTTTTTTCGTTTGTGATTTTATTATAATCTTTTTCTAGAAGAACCAACAACTTTCACTTGACTATGGATTTGTTTGATGTGTTATTATGGTGATAGATATATTTAAACTTCTATGAAGGTTTCTTTAGAACGCCCATGTTTTTCAGGGATCAGGGTACAACCTGCAACTGTCATGATAAAGGGGAGGGGTATGATAAAGAGATCCAATTTGTTCAGGTTTTTTTTTTTTTTTTTTTTAACCAATGATTCCCCCTTTTTAAAAAGAAGGGAAGTTTCAAAAATTTAAAAAAAAGACTGTAATGTTAAAAAAAATAAAAATTTTATTTTCTTTTAAAAAGGTCCACNTAAGTATTGCACTAAAACTAACCGTTTGAAGATTTGGTTAAACTTCTATACTTTTGAAAACTAAACTGTATTCAGAGCGCCGTTGTCGACCTTATTCGCTGAACATAACTTGGATCCGGCAAGAAACAGCAATATCAACATACATGGGAGGTTTTCCTTTTTCGGCAAGATCTTTGACAAGCTCACCTTCGCATTTATTTTTCGCTACATCGATAAGATAGTAGCCCTGATCGCAAGAACATTTGTAGGATCCATGAGTGTTCGTACATCTTTGACCGTAGTCGCATATCCTGTCAAGAGTACACTCATCTAGATCTGAAATGGGATTAATTTATCCCGTCATCTAACACCAATAAGATAAGCAATTCCGTGATTCTTACCCCAAATTAATTTTCTACCGACATTTAATTTGGAAGTCTTGACTCTTCTGATTTATCCAAGGCTCTCCGCTCTATGCCTAGCCTATTCGTACATGTATACATCTGACTGAAAAAGCGTTGTGGCAAAAAAAGCTCCACCGGGTTAAAGACATCACGTGAGTAACATTTTTTTTTCTTTTCTTCGAAACTTTGATGGTAATCGTTTTAGTTTTTCAAGCAGTTCATTAACTGATTTCAAATTTCCCTGAACGGACCTGTAGAAAAATTGAGATCCAGCTCCCAGTTCCCAGTTCCCAGTTCTGACTTACCCAACTGGATCCAGTACAGGGTAATAATTAACTGGCTATTATTATTCATTCAAAATATTTCCCTGATTCTGATTGGCTAAAAGAACACGCATAATTCACCATGACCAGCTACTGATGACCAAATTTGGAAGAATTTAGCGATCAATGAACCGATGACGTCAAAAGTGAAGCCTTCTTGCAGGTTAATGGACCATTAACCAAGAAGACCTGGGGATGAGGTTGAGTTGTTTTGGTTGTGAAAACAAAAACTGCAGACATTTCACTCGTTTCAAGAGTAAGAACTAGGCGAAATAATAGGTAAAAACAAGGCAAGAACAGCAAGAAGACAACTCGAAGGGCGACATAATTCTGGAGCTGAACAACCCTAAACGTGCACTATAGATGATGAACTTAACATCAATGGAAGAAAGCATGTTTTAGCAACGTTTTTAAACTAGGAATTATTTTGAATGAATAATGAAACAATATTCTTAATTAGGCTTTCGTATCATATGAAGAATTATGGATCTACACAATTCTTCATACGATACTCAGCCTTATTCATTAATTGTTAATTAGCTCCACCTTTAAAAAAAAAACGTTTTTTCATAATGACTTAGCTAAGCATTCCTTATGTGGATTTTCACCTGTAAAACCGGACTGGCATTTGCAAGTGAATGAACCATTGGTATTAACACAGTTAGAGTTTGGAGGGCATTTGTTGTTGTTACTGTCACACTCATTTATATCTTTAAATGAAACAAATTATAATTTATAGTGACTCATGGGGATGAAGCAAAAGGATCAAACTAAGACCTTGGCTATAAAAAGGTAGACAGATAAAATAGTAACTTGCCTACCCGAGCTACCGTTAGTTCAGATAGAAACTACAGGAATAAGGTGGGTCGCCTCAGATAACTTTTCTTTTTTTCTTTTTTTTTCGATAATAAGGTTACTCCCTTAGCCGGCCCACATTTTCTCCTTATACAGTGATACAAACAATTTAGCTAGCGTAGATGGATTAACTCTGACAAGGCAAAATGACCAGAGTTTGCACAAGTATTGTTATGTGATTTTAGCTCTGGCACTGGGTCAACTTTTTTATCATAAAAATGTTGACTCAGCTAGGTGGGTGACACTCTCTCCTGGGAAAACGTTTCTTCATATAAATGGGAAATATCATAAGCTATTTTGAAACTTTACTGTGAATGGATTTCTTCGCATAACTTATAAAGAAGACTACATCTCTACCCAAAGAAAATCTAACCGAGCCATACTAAGCTACAAAAAATTACCTGCCAAACAAAAGAAGGTTTACCTTCACATTCAAATCCATTTCCCTTGAAACCATCTTTACATTGACATGAAAATGAACCCAAAAGGTTGGAGCAGACAGCATGTTTTGAGCAATAATCTTCCTTGTTCAGACATTCATCCACGTCTTAAAGGTAAAATGGAAGGTTTAAAGTGTTATGACGTCGTTGAAAGTATAGCTTTAGGGTCATTCTCGTCTCGACATTTTTACAGTACTTTCAACTTTATGTACTAGTTAGTGAAAATCTGTCAACTCCGCAATAAAAAGGACCTTTAAATGACTAAAACTACCACGTTTGAAAGTGATTTTTCAAAAACTAACAAAGATATAGCTTCTCATTAAGTCACGAAATTTTCAGTGTACAGGCAAACGGACCAATTTAGGTTTCTGGGAAACTGCCTACCTACCCCTCCCCTAATCCAACATTTTGCCCTTAGTAAGAGGTTAGTGTTAATGTTGACTTAGGGGAGGGGTGGGTGGGCAGTTTCCCAGAAATCCATGCGGGCACAAACTTGCCCTCACCATGAAAACGTCTGAGTAAATTTACACAACTTTGGGGAGCTATATCTCTGCTCAATCAACCCATGGACATACACGTAAATTCAACCCCCCCCCCCCTTGGTACAAGGGGGAGGGGGTTGATAAATGCCTTCCTAGAGGTTTTGATATTGCAGTATTTCAAAACGATTTTGCCCTCAGTGGAAAGCCTGTGATCTTTTCAACAAGATGAAGTATATTTTATGGCTGGTAGTGCAACTGAAAGCCTGTGATGTCACCAATAATAATTGCCATCTTGGCCACCATCTTGGATTTTACCAAGAATTAGAAATCAGGTTCAAACTGCACGGAAGTGGTAGTATTTTGTGTTTGACATATAAAATAACACATAAATAAGCACTTTGCATTATTCTATCCACATTATTAACTTCTGTTGTTGAAAAATGAGAAAACATGCAAATTCACTCAAAAATGGCTTGACAACCAGCTTTTTACGACATCATATCTCGTAACCATAGTTACTGGCCATCACTAAATGGGTCTTAACATGCATGCAAGGGATAAATGAACAGCTACTGAAAACGTCAGGTGAGATGTTTTATCTTCTATGAAAAAAAAAACACTCAGAAAAACGTCAGAGGGGTGGCAACGACTTCCCCATTGTACATCTGAAGGTTTAGACCTACCACTTTCAAACTTGGCAAGTTACCTGAATTTTTAGCGCTCTGTCCAGTAAATGGTTTCTGATTTTAAGGAAATTTATAGAAGGTAATAAGACATACTAATGTGCTACGAAGATGTTGGGTTTCAGGTACATTGTAGTTTTAGAAGAAAAAGAAGATAAAATGAGGTAATAGTAGAAGACTGCATAGTAAATGAGAAACAATTGAAAATATTTCCTCATGCTCCCTGTTCTCTGCAGGTGTTTTTTCTGTATTGTTAACTAATCAAATGGAAAACGTTTAGATTTTTTAGTTATTTACCGACACATTCTATAAGAAAACCATCCCCAGTGAAACCAGGCTTGCAAACACACTCGAATGTGTTATCAGGTAAATGTCTGCACTCAGCTTTAATCGGGACATCGCAATGGGGTAGTGCTCTCAGACAAGGTGTCTGCGCTGTTAAAAATAATAATAATAATAATAATAATAATAATGACATATTAAATAATAATTATTTAAACAGGGCACGAAATTACGCTCGATACAGTCGCCAATGCGCCTAAGGTCCGGTTGAGACGCCGAACTTTCCATGAGCCGGACCTAATTCAAATTAAGGCCTCCCAACTTATTTAGACTGGCTGAACTGACTCAGACGCCAGTCTTCATTCCATCCGAACTAAATTCAAAAGAAGAAAAATGCTCATTTCGGTGAAACTGCTTTCAAAATACGTTGTAATAATTTATGCATTAGGTTCGGTACGTGAAAAGTTCGGCGTCTGAATCAAAGCCGTTCCAAAGTCGCTCCAAAGGCGAAATTCCCCAGCCGGACTAGGCGAAAAAAACGGCTGACCTGTTTCAAATTGATTCAGACGCCGAATTTTCATGTACTTAATGCAATGTATTAGGTTCGGCTCGTGAAAAGTTCGGCGTCTGAACCGGGCCTAAGTTTACCTTGCTGGCGACCAAGATTCAAAAGTTAGCGTTGGCGACCAGAACTCTTCAGATTCCGTAGAGCCTACTTTTATGTACTGAGCGATTAATCAAAGCTTGAAGGCAGATGAATCGGTACGAACGACTAAGGTTTGTAGCAAAATCGTCACTAACTCTACGAAGTGAACCTGTTAACGTCCGCCATCTTGGATGTTCCAAAAGTAACGTTGTATATTGTGGAATGAAATGTCCCTTTCGCTAAAAAGGCGTATTGCGGGCTCCCAACATTCCGTCCTTTTCCGATTCCCCATGTTCTCACTTAGCTTTATTATGGAGTAAACTCCAGTGTTTCAGGTGTTAGCAGAAATTGCAATTAGTGTTGTTAGTAAGGTACATGTAGTGCTAGAACACTAAAGCCATTAATCAATGGTTTGGAAATAAAATAGCACTAAAAATAGTTCAGATAACTCGGGCAGATTCTGAAAGAAACAAAAAAGGATCTGTTTATTTCATTCTGGCAGTTGCTGGGAAAGCGCAACTTGTTACTCTTTTGTAGTTGTAGTAAAGTCATGTTTCACTACGTTTGTTTACCGAGGAGCCTGTGACTTGGATATGTTTTTATGTTAACTCATCCCGATCAAGTCATTACTGCCGTGACTTTTTCATCCTTGGCTACTAAATGAATTAGATTTTCTGAGCGAGGTAAGAAAGAACTACTGCAAATATATTGATATATTTATGGGGATATTTGACAAGTTAATATTTATGAAAGGGGCATGTCTAGTTTTCCTGTTATGATGGCAGGTCGCATATTATGTTGTCCAGTAAGATATTTTGTAAAGTTCTTATTAGGAACAATAGTTTAGGGAATCGTCAACTTATTAAAAAAGTTTCTGAAATTCAGTTTGAAAGATTTTTCTGATTTTAGGCTGACTTCCTGGCTGATAATTGACTAGCTTGCTTCGAGTATTTTTCAGATCATTCTTATTCTTGTTACTTAAAAGACAGCAAAAAGAAATAATAGTCAAAAATTCCACTCGCCATTTAAACGGGAGTTATTTTTTCCTCACGGAGATCCCGGTTATGCCTGAAACATGCGAAAAATTATTAATTTTGTATAAAACACCAGTAATAACACCATCAGGATTTTCATGGAAAAAATTACTCTATCAAAACTTGCCAAAGAAAAAGCTCTTTTACCTTCACATTTTTTTGTTGCATCTCCCCAGAAACCATATCTGCATTTGCAAGAAAATCGTCCAGATCGTCCATCTAATTTTTTATTCTAACCGACGGTTCTTTGCACTCCAGTTTGTCTTCGCATTTTAGACCGTCGCCCTGGTAACCACTTTTGCATCTGCACGTAAAAGAACCAATTGTATTGATGCAATGGGCATGCGGACTGCATTGATGTTTCCTCGAAGTGCACTCGTCAAGATCCTTGCACTACTTAAAATTTCCATGGAAACCATTTTTGCATACGCATTGATATTTTCCTGGAAAATTCTTGCAAATCGCATTCTTTTCCTTTTCGCAATGGTCCTTTTGAAATTGAATGAAACAAAAAATAGAAGTAAAATTACGGTTAACAAATCAAATTGAATATGAATTGTCAATAAGAGATTCTAGAAAACTTTGTGCACGAATTAATACTTCTTATATTTTAAAACCTAATAAAACAATTAAAGATCAAATGTTAAGCATCAAAAGTAACGTGCATATTGCAATGTAACTAGTATTTTTTAAATTTCATACCATAGGGAGAAGAAGNTCCATCGAAGCCTTTATTGCAGTGACATTCATAGCTTTGGTGAGTATTGACACAGGTAGCCAAGGTTTTGTGGCACTTGTGGATTCCAAGTTCACATTCGTTGGCAAGTACACAGCTTTTAACCCCATCACCATAGTAACCCTCTTTGCACTCGCACTTGTATCCACCAACAGTATCCACACACTTGCCATGCGCATGACATGATCGACTTTTCTATGGGAAAAAAGCGCATGTTTTCAGTTAAAATGCATCTTACACTGTTCATCTTATATTTTGCAGTTATGTAAGGAGATACTACACGTTAGGTGCGGTTACAAGGGACATTTTTACCGTGGTAAATGGCTCCTTTAATTACCGCAAAATATTGGTGTTGTACTGATGTGACAGGATAGTTCCTAGCCTGAAAATGATGTGATGTGGACAGAATTAAAAATTAACAGGAACTCATTTTGTACCTTATACTTTTTTAACCCTCGGACGTACAACGGGGAGGGTGGATGCTACCCCCCACCTCCCACCCCCCTTTAAGGATTTTCTGAGCTTTTCCTAGAGGATAAAACAATAGCACCTGACGTTTTAAGTAGCTGTTCGTTCATTCCTCGCGCAAATTTTGAGAGAACTTCAGTGATGGTCAGTTGCTATAATTACGAGGTATGATGTCATAAGTAGCAGGTGGTCAAGCCATTTTTTGGGTGAAAATACCCGTTTTTTAACTTCTTTCAAGAAAAAGGTAAATCTTGTGGCTTAAATAATGCAAAGTGCTTACTTATGTGTTATTAATCATGCAAAGCACAAAACATTACTTTTTGTCGCGGTTTAAGCCTGATTTCTAATTCTTGGTAAAATCCAAGATGGCGGCCAAGATGGACCCAATTGATGGTGGCGTCACAGGCCTTCAGCAGCGCCACCACCCATAAAATATACCTCATCTTGTTAAGAAGATCAAGGGCTTTCTACATATCGAAAACTCAACATATCGAAAACTCCGGGGAGGAGTTCCATCCCCCCCCACCCCTGGTACCACAGTGGGGTATCCCGCCGGTACTCTGGTTCACCCCTCCCCCTTCTTTTTAAATTTCAAATTGGATCCGAATTTCTCTACAACGGAAACCCTCTGTGTATACTTGTACCACTAAAACTAAAGGGTTATTTATTTATTTGCTTATTATTTTAATTTTTTATTCTAACCGACGGTTCTTTGCACTCCAGTTTGTCTTCGCATTTTAGACCGTCGCCCTGGTAACCACTTTTGCATCTGCACGTAAAAGAACCAATTGTATTGATGCAATGGGCATGCGGACTGCATTGATGTTTCCTCGAAGTGCACTCGTCAAGATCCTTGCACTGCTTAAAATTTCCATGGAAACCATTTTTGCATACGCATTGATATTTTCCTGGAAAATTCTTGCAAATCGCATTCTTTTCCTTTTCGCAATGGTCCTTTTGAAATTGAATGAAACAAAAAATAGAAGTAAAATTACGGTTAACAAATCAAATTGAATATGAATTGTCAATAAGAGATTCTAGAAAACTTTGTGCACGAATTAATACTTCTTATATTTTAAAACCTAATAAAACAATTAAAGATCAAATGTTAAGCATCAAAAGTAACGTGCATATTGCAATGTAACTAGTATTTTTTAAATTTCATACCATAGGGAGAAGAAGTGTGACGTCACGTTACCATGGTAGCACAATTTCTGGATGACAAAAAAACCAACGATGACGGCGACGGCAAGGAGAACGGCAAAAAATAATATGTTTATATTAACAAACAACAACTTTGCACGTGTATCACGCTGTTCGTACGTTTCTTTTCCGTCGTTACATCACTACGACATGAAACTTCCTGATTTCATGAGCCCGCTCTATGGAGTAGGTGAACACAACACAAAAATTGTCGCTTTCTATTTCTAAACTTAGATGTCGATAGATATATACGGTCCCAAAGAAAATTTCGCCAAGATTTGCCAAATTAAATGAAGTTTTCAATGGCGCGAATAGACTTTTAAGTGACTTTATCGGTTTGTTGTCATCCAAACATTTTGCTACCATGGCAACGTGACGGAACGACTTCTCCTCTCGATTATTAACTATTATTAAATTATTTAACAGTAGGAATATTGATCATGACAACTTTCCAATTGTGGTCCGGAGTAAATAAATAGAAGGATCACTTGAACGTCATTTACGCCCTTCTCCGGACTGCGGATAGTGGAATGAGGCCGAGCTTGGATAGAGAATTTCCTATTAACCCCTCATATGCATTTTGTCAAGTCTCGAGTTGATGCCATTGTTTCCTAGAATGTAAGAACGGTCTACAAGGGATCAGAATCTAGTTTCCGCATCATACCAGGAGGTAGCTAGCCTCCACGGGAAGCGCGTTTGGTACTTTTGGGACTACGAAAGGAGTGGATATAATAAAGGTCGGAAAATTAGACTTTTTAGGCTTATGTGCTTATGATCATAAACTACATTGTACCTTGTTTGATAGAACTGTGCACCGATCGATTTCAACGCATTTGTGGCGCCCGTCACCTTTAAATCCTCTCTTGCAATGACAGCTGAAGCTCCCAAACGTGTTTTCACAGATGGCATCCTTGTGGCAGTTCTTTTTATTCTCACATTCATTGACATCCTTGCAGTCTTCCGTGCGGGGATTTTTACCTTTCAGACCAGCTTTACACTCACACTTATAAAACCCAGGGGTATCCTTACATCTCGCCTGCAAAGCACATGCGGCCATTCCTGTTTTGCATTCATCTTCGTCTGTGCATTACAAAGTAAAAAAGAAACGACAGTCGTCAACAAAAAAGCCTATTGAGGTGGGTGCGGTGGGGGTTTTCGGCATTTACCAACCACTACACGGTATATTTATCATCACCTTATCATTCTAGAATTCGATGCATTGGATTCCGGATTCCAGTTACTGGAATCGGGATTCCTTGTCAGTGGAATTGGATCCCGGATTCCAACTGTTAGCGGGATTCAGGTTTCCTTGGGTTAAAATCCGAATTTCAAGCCCTGGATTCCGGAGTCTACAAGCAAACATTTTCCAGAATCCAAATCCTGTAGAAGAACCCAACACAACAAGGAATTAACTGGTAGACAATATATTTATCCTTTTAATCCTAGAGTATAGTCTTACTCTATAGTGGATGGAATCTCATGATGTGGACATTATTAGAAATTAACACTCGTCCACGCTTCTTTTAGTCTGCTACACAGCCGTTTTTAGTGTCGTCAGACAACGTTCCTCCCCACAACGAAACGATCCTCCCTCCTCCGGTGGGGAGGAGCGTTGCATGACGACACTAGAAACGGCTTTGTAGCAGACTACGCTTCTTTTTGCTTTGCATTTTCTAAACAGAACAGACCAAAACAGGAAATATAAGAGTTCTTCTTTGTTTTTCAAATTCTATTTCAGCCAATAACTAACTTTGACTAACTTTAGTAACCTTGCAATACATGTCCTTTTGCCATTTTACCCGGTAATCCTGGGACCAGTTTCCAACTTCAAACGTCATAATAAGAAACAGATAACGCTGAATCTCACGCTGAGATGCAGCCCAATTAAACGCAAGTCGTCGTTAGTAGTAGGGAGCCATTAGGCCGGCAAAAACGTTTTCGAAAGACGCATGTCAACCAGAAGTGGACTTTTTGCATTCTTGATTAGTTGTTTGGGCCGAATTTTCGGTTACATCTTCACTATAAGATTAAGGAAACGTAGCGATATACATTCGGTAGCGTTGAGGCATATCAAAGGAGAAAAGGCCTCACTTCCGGTTGACGTACGTTACTTATAAGCTTCCTACTACTGGTTTTCAGTGCCACGCCATTCAAAATAGATAAAAATGAAAATAACCGTTCAATAGATAAAGTCCATAATCTGGGAGATGAAAGGAAGTACATATGCAAAGACCCCCGCCAAAATTCAGGTCAGAGGAATATTTCGTATACGAGATATCCGAAGAAACGTTTTACCCAAGCTTATAGAGATTTGTATGGAGACGCCATGCTGGCTCTCACCTGGATGAGCTCCAACACGGCGGACGGAAACCAACAGAAACATCTGTTACCGAGTTTTGCTACAAAAGCGTGAATTTATTCTTCGAGAAACTCATAAACATTAAAGTAATATTTTTTCTAATACATGAACTGTTTAGATACCAAAATTTCCTGAAATAAGACTTTTTTTTTTACCTACATGACAGCTCTCTTGGCCGTCATGTAAATGCCGCGTCACGCAAAAGCTTAGAAATTCAAGCGTACTCCATTACAAAACCAAGAACCCTTTTGAAGCGAAAATTTGTATGAAAATTAGTTTTCAGCTGCTCTAGACTAATGCATCGTGAAAGTAAAATCTCGGTAGGATCGATAGTTTTTTAGTTTGAATTTTTGGGACGTCATGTGAAAACCAACAATTCTGTATCGCCTGTTCAACAATTATTCAACTTAACCCAACACATACCTGTACATTTTTTCCCATCCCATATTTTGGAGATAGTGCAGTTTTGCCGAACAACTGTGAAAGGGATGCGACTGTTATAACAGAGACCTGCTTCGTTTTTGCAAACATCTGGTTTATCTGCATATCAAATCGATAATAGAAATTAAAATGTGATTTACTACATGACTCATCCAATAAACATGTTTATTAATTTTCTGATTTCTTATGTTTCCTTTTTGTGTGTTCTGTCCTCCGTGACTTGCTATATCATGCTGAATTTTAGCCTGGGAACTGGTCTAATTTCTGATCGACCCGTTTGGATTCTGATTTAGCGTGTCAGTTAGATCAGTTGAAAGATTTTTTCTGTTTGTCAGCCTGTTTGTGTCGGCCTCAGTAAAAACTACCACAGTCGCCAGTAAAAGTTGTGAGCCAATGCTTTTGAAATCAATAGCTTCGTTTTCATAACTTACCGTCATTTTCTTTGTACCAAACTATTCTTGGTTTACGCTTAATCCAAAGAGATAGTATTATTTTGTTCGGAGCTGTCACTGGTTCAAGATACCCATACATGTTTGGCAACCATAGTTTCGTCTTTTTCGGTTCCACGTCATCAGGTCTAACTTCCCTTTTGCTGACAAAGAAAGCATCCTGGGTTTTGTATGAGAGCCGATGCAGTCCTCCTTGTGCATTTTCTAAAAATACCAGCTTCGAGTCGACACTGACGATTCTACCATAGGAAACCTTTGAACGCAGTTTTGAGACTCTGGCAAAGAACTCAACTTTTTCTGAAGGAAAAGGAAATAAATAAAAGTAAACTGGAGAATTTGCAGGAAATTGGCAATTACATTGTCGTAGCAATTGTGTGCAGGTTAGCATCATGAAGAGAAAAAGCCTAATCGCCTATAGAAACCTACTGAGAACTAATAGCAAATCGATACCTGAGGGACATTTTATGCAAGTTAAACGAGAAAGAGTTAGATAATCAAGAAAATCACAATTAAAGTGGAGAAGCAAAGAAAGAGAGGCAGGTGAAAGGCTATTAAAGTGTGAGAATACAAAACAAGGAACATGGAATTTATAGAGTGAATGGAGGGAAAGAATAAAAAGCTTCGAGACTAGGAGGCTTAGAACGTGTTCGTGGAGGAGAAAAGGTGATAATTCGCGCGAGAGAGAGAAAAGAAGAAAAATTGATTTGTTCAAGCAGCCTCTCAAGGTCATGTCTCACATTATCACACGAGCTTATGAGTCGCGCTTGGCCTGTCAGACGCTAATTTCTAACTGAATTGATCGTTGTTTCGGTCAGCATTCATGAAATAGCGTACACAGTCTCTTAAGAGACAATCCACGGATTCCAACAAATCCGTTGTCGGGGAGCCGACAACCACCACTACTGTGAGGGCCATGAATAAGAACCAAACCTTGCTCGAAATTGACGCGGCCATTGCAGCCATGATTGATTCAAACCGAAGTTATCTTCCAGCTCGATCGTATATGAATGGGTTTTTTGCTGACGGTATAATTCGGTGCCTCTTATACGACAACTTTCTGTGACCCCCATATACCACATGCGTGTTTGTAACGGCGCGCGCATATATATGGGCTTTTTTGTGCGCATATATATGCGCGTTTGTACCCACAAAGCAGAAAAGAACGCAAGTATACGTGGCAAAAAAACGCACGTATATCGTGTATCAGGAATGATTGCAAGTAAACGTGGTAAAATACCGCACGTATATCGTGTTATAATTTTGAAACAAATGGCCGACCATATATTTCAGCCTAATTTGAAATACCTACATGTGATAATTACAACCCTTTTGCGGGTAGTAGTATAAACAAATAATAGCATGATTTGTACGTGATATTTTGCATATATTTCAAAATTGTCTCAAATTTCACTCGCCTAACGGCTCGTGAAATTACGTATAAGAATTTCGAAGTATCACTCATGGTATTTATGCCAAATATCACTACAAATCATACTATTACCTATACAAATAAAGAAATAAGAAAAATTGTGGCACAGAAACCCCGAATACCACAGCTTATTATATCGGATGAAACAAACCACATGTCTTTTTTTTTAATATTTCAGGTTCTTATTGATGCTTATGATAGTACAGTCATGTACTGTTTAACAATAAAAATACAAGGTATATTACTTCTGCTTACTTGTTTTAGTTGTTTAATTTTGCTGTTTTAAATAGTTTCAATACAGACATTTAGGCTTGTTTTTATTTGATTAAACTTCATTCAGTCACAAATTTGGGTCACCTATTCGGTTAGTCCTACAAATTAATTAGGTTTCCAAAACTCTGCACAATGAACCTAAAATTGAAATAACTTCTTTTCCTTTTTTCACAATCGTTTTATTTTCATATGTGAGGGCATTGAAATAGACTTGCAAATAGTATTAATAACTATGAGAGTTAAATACAAATTGACTTGACTTATGGGAATCGAAACAGGTGGGTTGTTCCGACCTTCACGTTTAAACCTGAATTTAATGAATGTGGCGTGGTGACGTGTCTTCTGATTTTTAGAAGTTTGTCAAGATGAATATTTTTAGTTGTGACCTCTTTCACATCTTGACTGTATAGAAGTTTTGAAATTGTCCCTTGGATTTTCTGGTCACCTCCGTAATCGATGTATGTTATGGAAGGGTTCAATCATCTTTGATGCTGAAGAAGCTTCACACCTTCACTCAATTTATACAGTATTAAGCTGAGTAATTTTCAAACTGTAATTTTACAAATACTCTGTGGAAGTTGATTTTGTTTTATATTGACTGGACAATTCAGACTTCGAAACTCAATTTGGAAAGAGTCCAGAATAGTTTTGGCCAAGCAATGAAATTGAAGGATTCTATGCTACTGAGTGCCAATCCGTACAAAACAAACAAAGGGCCTGTTTACATGGAGGGGGGACCCCAGATGGGTGAGGTAACAAGTGGCGGATCACTCATATGCCGGGCAGGTTACCTTACTTACCTCATGCAGTTCCCCCCCCCCCTCCCCCTTATATAAACAGGCCCTAATGCATCAAACTTTAATTCGAGTTAAACAGATGGGCTTACTGATCAGAAAAGATAAAGTTGAAAAAGAAAGGAGAGAGTGAATGGTGATCTTTGCAAAAAATAAAAATTGTTTCAATAAGATCGAGGCTCTTTCTTTGTTGTTTAAAATGCTGTTGTTGAAGAATACGAACTGGCTAAATCTCCGTGAATAGTTCAAGTCATAAACAACACAATGTACATGCAATGCTTACCACACCACGCACTAAAGATAACTCGTAATTTTTCTCTTTCGAAGCTATGCAGCCTAATGGTCTGCCCCTTATAATCTCTGTTTGCATCTACTAGCTTTTCGACTCGATATTTGTTTCCGTTAATCTCGTGCACGCGCCCCGCAACGTAGTGATATCCAGGGGTAAGAACACAAGAGTTTTCTCTGATCTCTGTTTCTAGAGGCACGTGACTAGGAATAACCTGAAAAATAAAATGAAATAAATAAGCAAATAAATCATTTTAGTGAAACCGGCTGTGAAATACAAATTGACATAAAATTGATAGAGGTGAAATCTCCATTTCATTGTAAAATTAAACAGAAAGCACACTAGATAGCAATATTTCAGTGGGCATGGAAATAATATTCATCAGCCACTCTGGTTGTAGAAAATTCTTACATTTTTGCTTACAACAAACAGGCAGCCCGCAACTCTTGTTTTCAATTTAACCGCAAAACACTCCTGCTTGTATTCTAATAACATGTCATGTACGCAGTCATTTTCAAAGCAATCTGACAAAGGCGACACCAGTAAAAAATGTATACTAAGTGAAACACTGAATTTTCCTCCTTTCAAACTATTCCAACTCGTTTAATCTTTTAAAAAAGTGGGAAATAAAACTGAAGCTGAAGAGGCNAACAGAAAGCACACTAGATAGCAATATTTCAGTGGGCATGGAAATAATATTCATCAGCCACTCTGGTTGTAGAAAATTCTTACATTTTTGCTTACAACAAACAGGCAGCCCGCAACTCTTGTTTTCAATTTGACCGCAAAACACTCCTGCTTGTATTCTAACAACATGTCATGTACGCAGTCATTTTCAAAGCAATCTGACAAAGGCGACACCAGTAAAAATGTATACTAAGTGAAAAACTGAATTTGCCTCCTTTCAAACTATTCCAACTCGTTTTTAAAATCTTCTAAAAAAGTGGGAAATAAAACTGAAGCTAAAGAGGCAGAACCGCTCCCGATCTCAGACAAAAAATAAGTAAAATGTCATTGCCTTCTGGTTCAAGTTTCTATAGCTAGCTGTAGAGGGAAGGCAAATAATGAACATAAAAACGTGATACACGCGCTGAATTATTGTTTTGCAAACAAAACCTATTCCTTTTTGTTTTTAATTCTTCGTCAACGTCGTCGTCTGTGTTTCGTAAGGTCCATATAACTGTATATTGTAACCACATACCTGTGTGTAATCAGGATAATAACTGAGAGGTTCATTGCGGTCATGTACTTCCACTTTATACGTATCTAGATTAATTTTCTTAATACTTGTCTTCTTATAGGACATTGTTATTTGATTTTCCATCACGAACACCTCATCGCCAACTCCTATTGAGAACCAAGAGTTAGATTATTTTTTATGAGACCTCCAGTTGAAAAGGATTGCCCTGAAGTTCTATTCATGTAGTTTTGGGCTTCCATCAAAGTTGAGACCCTCGAAATGCCGCTTAGCTTACATTATATTACTTCATTTTTTTTTTGGTTACATAAACGATTATTATTATTATTTCGGTGGTGACTAGTATTATGACACCATCATCGAAACCTATGGTGACTTACGCATACAGGTAACGCATGCTCCCAGTATAATTCCCCTGGCACTGAAGTCATGATTAACGAATGCTTCATGTCAATAAAAAAAAGTGCAAGAAGGGTGAGGAATAACAAATTTTTGAAACACATAAGGTAATTAATAAAATTAAACAGGTACAGTACTCACGCAAATACGGATTTCCATATATTTCTACTTTCATACAAAGCCTCCCCGTGCGGTCTAACTTGAAGCCATAAGGGAATATCCTCACATAACGACCGACCTTCCGTTCTCTAGCGACGCTGTATACCTTGTCGTTTTCGTTTCTCCCCCCATAAAACTCTGGCTGAAAAACAATCATGACGGTGGCAGGGTCACCATTTATTATTTTCAATAGCAGGTCATAAAAAATGCGCTTTATTTGAGTGTCAACGAATGCATTTAGCACTAAAGTACTAATTGGGGACACTATTTTTTTACGTCTCCGGCTGGAACACAGGACCATTTAACGTGGTCATCGGAGCCAAGCGAAAGTCTACCCGCTTGCAGCGCAAATTAGGGAGTACCTTCATTTCTCAGTTATTTTAAGACCCTGAATATCGGTCCGGCCCCAAGAATCGAACCCGCGACCTCTCGCTCTGCAGTCAAGCGCTCTACCGACTGAGCTAATCCGGCCGCGGTTATTTGTAAGAGAAATATATAGAGGATATTACACGGTGGCGAGAAGATATGAATTTTATGTTCGAGTGGCAAGAACAATATCTCACGAGTGAGCGAAGCGAACGAGTGAGATATTGTTCTTGCCACGAGAACATAAAATTCATATCTTCGAGCCAACGTTTAATGTTCTTTTTATTATATGGAGAAACCAATTCAACAAAAGCAAAAGGTGGGAATCGTGACGTCATTGAACGATACGACACTCACAAAGGTGACATACGGAAAATACGCCACTCGGGTCCCGGATGAAGTGGCGTATGGAATCTACGAGTGGTTTAGTTCCCAGTAAAACACTCTCCTCCATATAATAAATGCACATATGTCAACCCTCGCTTTGCTGACCCTGCTATAACGGATACCTCGACAATACGTAAAGCAGCAAAATCCCAGGCAAAAATAAGTTGCTTGACGGAAACAAATCCCAGCAGTACAGACTCTTGCTAATAAGGACACTTATCAAAGTCCCCACGATGTCTACGATAAAAGGGAATTGATCCTATTGGATATTTAAGTCATCGTAAGCGAAGTATCACCTTAAGCTCCTCCTAAACCCTGAACAAGTGCAACTTTTGAATCAACTCCCTTTACAGCGGACACAGTGGGGACCTTGAGTATTAGTGCCCTCATTAGCGAGATTCCGTCCCTAATGGCGGGAATTTTTCTTTTCAGTGAAACATCTGTAATTTATTTTTTGCCTAGAATTTAACGGCTATCCGTATCATCGGGGTGCCCGTTAAAGCAAGGCGAGAGTTGACGAGTATTTTCATAACTTCGTTTGTTATTGTTGTTATCATTGCTCATTATTTCGATTAGTTTTTGTAATTGCTGTAAATTGTTACAATACAATCATACCCCTCGACTTAAGTTTAGGTATAAGATATAAATATCTTGAAAAGAATAATTTTAAAGAGGGACACCTCACCATTACCTTCCCTTGCAACGGATTTAACGGGTCATGTAGCAGCTGCTCGGAAGAGAGGTCACCAATGGTGCTTAACCCTAACCCCAAACAATACTGAAACAATTTAAAGAATGGCAAGTCATTATTTTCTGCGACCAATCAGGAGAGACCTACAAGCAGCTCCTACACAACTGGATTTAACTGGCGTGAATTGAGACTATGTCCTCACTTCCTCTTTCTTTCTTTGTCCACAAAAGAACGGAGGCCAAATATAGTTCCGTAAAGAGACTGCTCTAACCAAATGTGATGATGAATATCACCACTAAACCCTTACATGCTACTAACTCCATGTAAATTACCTTGATATAATTCCATGAATCCCAGTAGTCTTTCTCAGGAGTGACCTGTACTCTATACCTAGTTGGCCAAGATCGCCTGCACCCTCGCACCTCAAATCCGCAGACAAGAAATAGACTTCCTAAATCGATTTCCAGGTATGGGTGTTTATCATTGCGATCAGGTATCCATCCATTGCCACCATGCATCCGTGCTTCGTAAGTTTGCGCAAACCTATCCACTGTCGAAGCTTTGATGTTTTGGTTTCCGATCTTGTTGTACCCTATAAGTTCCTTACCGCAGTCTAAGAACAATTACAAAACAAACAAACAAACAAACAAATTAAACAACTGAAATTTGGTGGAATAATTTTATCGTCTGGGCGAATGTACAGTCTACTCTCTCTTTATAACGGGCACCTTGCTAAAACGGACATCCTGCAGAGTTGGTCCCTGTCTTTCTTTGCTCCTTTTAGCTGACTCTCAATAACACGGATACATCATGTGCTGGTGCTAAAGGTGTCCGTCGTTAAGAAAAACTTGTCCGCAGTCCTGAACAGGCTGCTGTTGACAACTACTGGCATTTCGAGAACCTGTGTGGTAGTTTCCTCCAGTCTTCGGAGAAGATTCAGAGGTCTGAAATGTTCGGAAATTACTTACACAACCCTCAAGCACATCCAGCTAGCTGAAAGTGCCATAACGGAGGACGCGAGCGACATATATCACCATGAAGTTAAGACAATAATATTTGTGCGAGTTTGAATAAGGCCAGAACTCAATCCTCAGATCTCTATCCTATCCTTTCCGTTTTTTTTCTTTTTCTTGTTCTTTCTTTTTTTTTTTTCAGTTTTTACAGACCAAGAAATAGTTGTAAAATAATTTTTGTGGGGACTGCGCACCATCTGGATCTCATGTTAATAGGAACTTTGTTCCTCGCAGGGAAACTAGTTCTTACACCTGTTTGACTGAAAATTTTTAGATTGAAAATGCCATTCCCCGTATAATTAAGGGTGATCCATCTGCAACCTTACTTCAAGTTGGAGCCGGATCCCCCCTTTTTCCCTAGAGAAATTCATCGCAATCTAGCGATGCTTAATATCTGCAGTCTTCGTGATTTTATGGAAAAACATCGATTTACAGCTGACTAGAAATTTCAGCAACATGGTGATGTGTTGAAAGAAGAGTTAAAACTTACATCTAGACGTAGCGTCCAATACGGTGTGACAAGAGAGCAGAAACAGGAAGAAGGCCTTGAAACAGAAAGCACACTAGATAGCAATATTTCAGTGGGCATGGAAATAATATTCATCAGCCACTCTGGTTGTAGAAAATTCTTACATTTTTGCTTACAACAAACAGGCAGCCCGCAACTCTTGTTTTCAATTTAACCGCAAAACACTCCTGCTTGTATTCTAATAACATGTCATGTACGCAGTCATTTTCAAAGCAATCTGACAAAGGCGACACCAGTAAAAAATGTATACTAAGTGAAACACTGAATTTTCCTCCTTTCAAACTATTCCAACTCGTTTAATCTTTTAAAAAAGTGGGAAATAAAACTGAAGCTGAAGAGGCAGAACCGCTTCCGATCTCAGATAGAAAATAAGTAAAATATTATTGCCTTCTCGTTCAAGTTTCCATAGCTCAGGCTGTAGAGGGATGGCAGATAATGAACATAGAAACGTGATACACGCGCTGAATTACTGTTTTGCAAACAAAACCTATTCCTTTTTGTTTTTAATTCTTTGTCAACGTCGTCGTCTGAGTTTCCGAAGGTCCATATAACTGTATATTGTAACCACGTACCTGTGTGTAATCAGGATAATAACTGAGAGGTTCATTGCGGTCATGTACTTCCACTTTATACGTATCTAGATTAACTTTGTTAATACTTGTCTTCTTATAGGACATTGTTATCTGATTTTCCATCACGAACACCTCATCGCCAACTCCTATTGAGAACCAAGAGTTACATTTATTTTTTATGAGACCTCCAATTGAAAAGGATTATCCTGAACTTCTACTCATGTAGTTTTGGGCTTCCATCAAAGTTGAGACCCTCGAAATGCCCCTTAGCTTATTACATTATATTACTTCCTTTTTTATGGTTACATAAACGATTATTATCATTATTTCGATGGTGACTAGTATCATGACACCATCATCGAAGCCTACCCAGTATAACTCCCCTGGCACTGCAGTCATGATTAACAAATGCTTTATGTCAATAAAAAAGTGCAAGAAGGGTGAGGAATAACAAATTTTTGAAAGACATAAGGTATTTAACAAACTTAAACAGGTACAGTACTCACGCAAATAAGGATTTCCATATATTTCTACTTTCACACATAGCCTCCCAGTGCGGTCTAACTTGAAGCCATAAGGGAATATCCTCACATAACGACCGACCTTCCGTTCTCTAGCAACGCTGTATACCTTGTCGTTTTCGTTTTTCCCCCCATAAAACTCCGGCTGAAAAACAATCATGACGGTGGCAGGGTCACCATTTATTATTTTCAATAGCAGGTCATAAAAAAAGCACTTTATCTGAGTGCCAACGAATGTATTTAGCACTAAAGTACTAATTGGGGACACTATTTTTTTTATGTCTCCGGCTGGAGACAGGACCATTTAACGTGGTCATCCGAGCCAAGCGAAAGTCTACCCGCTTGCAGTGCAAATTAGGAAGTACCTTCATTTCTTAGTTATTTTAAGACCCTGAATATCGGTCCGGCCCCAAGAATCGAACCCGCGACCTCTCGCTCTTCAGTCAAGCGCTCTGCCGACTGAGCTAATCCGGCAGCGGTTATTTGTAAGAGAAATATATGCACGTATGTCAACCCTTGCTTTGCTGACCCTGCTATAACGGACACCTCGACAATACGTAGAGCAGTAAAATCCCAGGCAAAAATAAGTTTATTGACGGAAACAGATCCCGCCATTACGGATTCTTGCTAATGAGGACACTTATCAAAGTCCCCACGGAGTCTGCGATAAAAGGGAGTTGATCGTATTGGATGTTTAAGTCATCGTAAACGAAGTATCACCTTAAGCTCCTCCTAAACCCTGAACAAGTGCAACTTTTGAGTCAACTCTCTTTACAGCGAGCACAGTGGGGACCTTGGGTATTAGTGCCCTAGCGAGATTCCGTCCCTAATGGCGGGAATTTTTCTTTTCAGTGAAACATCTGTAATTTATTTTTTGCCTAGAATTTAACGGCTATCCGTATCATCGGGTTGCCCGTTATAGCAAGGCGAGAGTTGACGGGTATTTTCATAACTTCCTTTGTTATTATTTTTATCATTACTCATTATTTCGATTAGTCTTTGTAATTGCTGTAAATTGTTACAACACAATCATACACCTCGACTTAAGTTTAGGTATAAGATAGAAATATCTTAAAAAGAATAATTTTAAAGAGGGACACCTCACCATTACCTTCCCCTGCAACCGATTTAACGGGTCATGAAGCAGCTGCTCGGAAGAGAAGTCACCAATGGTGCCTAACCCTAACCCCAAACAATACTGAAACAATTTAAAGAATGGCAAGTCATTGTTTTCTGCGACCAATCAGGAGAGACCTACAAGCAGCTGCTACAAAACTGGATTTAACTGAGGTGAATTGAGACTATGTCCTCACTTCCTCTTTCTTTCTTTGTCCACAAAAGAACGGAGGCCAAACATAGTTCCGTAAAGAGACTGCTCTAACCAAATGCGATGATGAATATCACCACTTAACCCTTACATGCTACTAACTCCATGTAAATTACCTTGATATAATTCCATGAATCCCAGTAGTCTTTCTCAGGAGCGACCTGTACTCTATACCTAGTTGGCCAAGATCGCCTGCACCCTCGCACCTCAAATCCGCAGACAAGAAATAGACTTCCTAAATCGATTTCCAGATATGGGTGTTTATCATTGCGATCAGGTATCCATCCATTGCCACCATGCATTCGTGCTTCGTGAGTTTGAGCAAACCTATCCACTGTAGAAGCTTTGATGTTTTGGTTTCTGATCTTGTTGTACCCTATAAGTTCCTTACCGCAGTCTAAGAACAATTACAAAAAAAAAACAAACAAACAAACAAACAAATTAAACAACTGAAATTTGGTGGAATGATTTTATCGTCTGGGCGAATGTACAGTCCACTCTCTCTTTATAACGGGCACCTTGCTAAAACGGACATCCTGCAGAGTTGGTCTGTCTTTCTTTGCTCCTTTTAGCTGACTCTCAATAACACGGATACATCATGTGCTGGTGCTAAAGGTGTCCGTCGTTAAGAAAAACTTTTCCGTAGTCCTGAATAGGCTGCTGTTGACAACTACTGGCATTTCGAGAACCTGTGTGGTAGTTTCCTCCAGTCTTCAGAGAAGATTCAAAGGTCTGAAATGTTCGGAAATTACTCACACAACCCTCAAGCACATCCAGCTAGCTGAAAGTGCCATAACGGAGGACGCGAGCGACATATATCACCATGAAGTTAAGACAATAATATTTGTGCGCGTTTGAATAAGGCCAAAACTCAATCGTCAGATTGAGTTTCCCATCCTTTCCGTTTTTTCTTTTTCTTGTTCTTTTTTTTTTTTTTTTCNTGGAGCCGGATCCCCCCTTTTTCCCTAGAGAAATTCATCGCAATCTAGCGATGCTTAATATCTGCAGTCTTCGTGATTTTATGGAAAAACATCGATTTACAGCTGACTAGAAATTTCAGCAACATGGTGATGTGTTGAAAGAAGAGTTAAAACTTACATCTAGACGTAGCGTCCAATACGGTGTGACAAGAGAGCAGAAACAGGAAGAAGGCCTTGACACAGCAAGGTTTCATGTTTGGTTAACCACTGTAGCCAGCCGGGTTAAGCGCTTTTGATTGTGCATGCGCAAGCAAGCTATTGTCTCGTCATATTTTTCGCGCGCGCACTAATCAAAATTAAATTCTAGAATTTTGAATTTATATCTTACAATGTTACAGTCACTTGGTGATCGAATTCGATCTTTGACGGCATCTGTACATCAGAGCCTATCCAGGGTGGTCGGGAGGGTTCAAGCGTCCCCTCCAGCAGGGTTGGTTCTCGGTCAGCGGGTCGGAGTTCAAATCCTTGGCTCCTTGGACACGTTTGTAAATAGCTAACTAGTTAGGCCTCCGGCCAGTTCAGGATTCTTAACGTTTAGAATTTTAATTCCAACTATTTGTTTCTATCCGTGTTTGTAGGCCACAACAAAAACTGCTGGGTTAGTAGTCCGAAAATCTCAATTGTTAACCCTATAAATCCATTCCTATCTGATGATTTCAGTCCTGGCTAAAATAGCTGATACGACTCAAATGAAATGCAGGTCAAACCTGTTACAGTGAGGGTCTATATTGTCTTTCTCAATATTCTCCGTTAAAAAAAAAAAAATAATAAAAATAATAATAAAAAATAACAACACATTGATAATAATAATAATGATAACAATAATAATAATAATAACATTTTTTACAATGAAAGGAAAATAAATACACAGATACATGAAACAAAGCCTCGCAAGATCATATTAAGTATTCAATACAAACCTATTTTTAAGTATCCGAGATTCTTAAATGAGTCAGCTTTTTTGGCTTTTTGATCTATTCAGTGGATATAACTGATGACCTCCATTAAAGCTACGCAATATTGTTCGAAGGAAAGCTGCGACGCAAAAATGTATTGTTAAATCTAAAACCCCATATACAAAGTGTTATCATTATTCTTTATCGAACCACTGTCTCCATCTATATTAAGGAGAGATTAAGAAGAATTATCATTTCAGAAATCAGTGGAGCACAACGAAATTTTTGCTGGTAGGTCAGAAACGCGTTATATCAACCATTTCGTGACAAGCCTTTGAAATTTTGCTCGCGTTTTTTCAATATTACACCGCGGGCCTCTCAGCTGATTCATAGTTAAAAGTGTCAATCGGAGTTGTGTAAGCGTGCTATTTTAACTGAGGTCGTTGCATTTCCTTTTGCATGTCAAACATAGCGCAAATGGAATTCCGAGCTCTCCACGTGATTATAGCTTGTACCGTATTTTTTACGAACAAATCAATTCAGGTAAACGCCGAAAACGATCAACGAGCTCCCGTCGTGAAGACCGAGTCTGGTGCTGTTGTTGGGAAAATTGAAACCGTTCCACACAGCAAAGCAGTGTACCAGTATCTTGGTATTCCGTATGCTGAACCTCCGGTCGGCGAACTGAGGTTTGCTGCTCCAAAACCGGCAAAACCTTGGTCAAAGATAATGGATGCTACAGAATTCGGTGCAATATGCCAACAGAACAGACTATTATTGGATATTTTAAAAGTGGTAGGAGGTTTTAACGACTATCTAAAAACAGGTATTTTTATGGTCTTAAGTTAACCCGTTGCTATCTTTTAATATTCTCTATTGATTCTCCATTTTCCTCTATCGAGCAAGCTGTTCATGGTCAATCAAGTGTGACAGCATGATTTATTGAAGTAGATCACGTCGAGTTGTCAAACACGATTCCATGTTTTAAAAGGCGCTGTAACACGGGCAACAAAAAACGAGCAACTTGCGTTGTGAAATTGCTGCAAAACGAGTTGAAAGGGATGTTGTGCGTTTTACCACCGAAGTTCAAACCTGTCTCGCAACAAATAAAGGGAGTTTGACTAATGGTAGCGGATCGCGGGTCGCGAGTCCAGTGTCGTGGTCGCGGGTCGAAAGTCGCAGTCGCGGGTCCAATGTCGCGGTCGCGGGTCCAATGTCGCGGCGGGGGAAATGATTTGGGGTTCGAGGTAACTGAGTGAAAACGACTGATATGAAAACAATATAAAGGGAAAAAAATCTAATTTATACACGATACTCTAAGGTAGCCAATTTACAGGTTACGGATGTTAGAGTCAACAAAAGAATGTCTAATGAAAAGACCTTACCATAAGTTACCATTGTTTTCTTCTTGTCTATGAATTGCCCACAAATGCTTAGGGGTTCATTTACTAAACAATATGCGATACACTTCACAGACTACAAATTATAAACGTTACAACAACTTTACACATAACTGGGCCCCATAGAAAGAAAACAAAATTAACTTGCAGTGAACACAAAAGTCGACCAGCTTCTTCTTTTAGGTCTTTTCTTGAGACATTATTTTGTTGACTCTAACATTTGTAACCTGTAAATTGGCTACCGTAGAGTATCGTTTATAAGAACGATTTTTTCCCTTTATATTTTTTTTCATATCAGTCGTTTTTACCTCGAACAATAAAGCTGTCACTTGACTACTTTCCATTCGACTTACATGTAAAATTGTCAAAATGCACTCGACATTTCTTTAGCCACTTTTTTCATCGAGGAAGAACAATTTTGTTTAGTTACCATTCAGTAAAACAGTGGCTTGTAATGGTGACCTGTGGAATGAGACCGCAGAAGGAAAGCTCTCCACTTTCTACTGAAAAGCTTTGTCATGCGTTCAGCCCTAAGAACATCTACCTATGGGGCCAAAGCGAAGCCCGGGGAACCTACTTAGTGTGATAATGCCCCACGGACCCATAGCCACAAAAGTCATAGCCTTCTAGATCCCACAAAAAGAGAACCTTGGGAGGCTATACAGACAAGTGTTCAACCACTTAAGTAATGTTCTTTCTAACTGAAATCATTTAGCAAAGATGAGTGAAGATTGCCTTTCTCTCAACGTGTTTGTGCCTTCAAATATCAAACCCTCCGAGAAGATAGCGGTCATGGTGTGGATTCATGGCGGTGGATTCGTAGCAGGAAGTTCCGGCTTTACCCCTGGTGCGGTCCTGGCTTCCTTTAACGATGTCATTGTTGTATCCATTAACTACCGTCTAGGAGTGTTTGGCTTCTTCAATGTTCCAGGGACTGACTTAANTAATGTTCTTTCTAACTGAAATCATTTAGCAAAGATGAGTGAAGATTGCCTTTCTCTCAACGTGTTTGTGCCTTCAAATATCAAACCCTCCGAGAAGATAGCGGTCATGGTGTGGATTCATGGCGGTGGATTCGTAGCAGGAAGTTCCGGCTTTACCCCTGGTGCGGTCCTGGCTTCCTTTAACGATGTCATTGTTGTATCCATTAACTACCGTCTAGGAGTGTTTGGCTTCTTCAATGTTCCAGGGACTGACTTAAAAGGAAATTATGGAATGCTGGACCAGGTAAACAGTTTCATCGGTTATATTTGTGTAAGGCAATCAGATGAAGAGAAAGTGGTCCAGTGTGCGCCCGACTTTCTAAATTCGCAGTCCTCTATTTTAATTCTTCCTGGTAAGCACGTTTATTTATTTTTTTATTATTTTTATTTATTTATTTTTTTTCAATTTAAAACCAACAGGTGTTGGCATTCAAGTGGGTTAAGAATAACATTGCCAGTTTTGGCGGAGACCCTAACAGAGTGACCATATTTGGCGAGAGCGCTGGAGGAATGAGTGTTTCTCTTCATTTACTCTCGCCACTGTCCAAAGGTTTGTTTGAAAGGGCCATCCTGCAGAGTGGCGCTTCCTCGACTCCTCTTTTCTGTGGAAAAGTTTCCAACACAGCACAGTTGGAATTATTTGCTAAGTACATAAAATGTGATTTGGGGCAAGACTTTGTTCAATGCGTTCGTGGCAAGTCCGTTGAGGACATTTTAACGACGCAGAAGTTATTCACTTTGGATAACTTTGACAGGCGTCGGACACAGGATTTTGTAGCTCCTGTAGTAGATGGAAAATTTTTACCAGATCTCCCTGAAACTCTTTTTAGAGCAGGTGAATTCCAAAAAGGCATCGATGTCATAACCGGATTAACCTCAAATGAAGGAGGTGTGTTTGCAATGATACGGCCACCAAGCCAGTTTAAGGATGGTTTGGAAAAAGATGTGTTTGAACATATCGTGAGAAGTCAGACACTATATCATCGAGAAAAGAGCGAAATCATGGAAGATCTTATATTGTTCCAGTATACCAACCATACAATTCCTCAGGATAAAAATGCCATTCGACAATCGATGTTGGAAATTTGGGGCGATTCAGCCTTTGACGCGCCTGCCATGTTGGAGGCTCAATCACTGGCAAAGGTAAGATTTGCATTACCTAGCGCGCATATGTAAACATCTTCTGGAGTCAGGATCACCTAACATCTCCCGGTTGGTCGTTACAAATGCACGGCTCAATCTATAAAAACGCCTTAACGGAACAGATATATAGTAAGAATGGGAGGGGTTGAGGAATTCAATTATCTCATTTTAATCACCAACATACATATTTCACTTTTGTTCGGACAAGAAGGAAATACAAATAAAGGTTTAACAAAAATCAAGACAACCAAGGAAATGAATAAAAATGTGGTTCAGCCAGGATCAAACCAGGCTGTCCACCAATGCCCATCCTCGGCTAGAAAATTGACATTACTGTGGTAGGTTCGGAAGTAGGGAACTGGTTTGGGCAAAAACAAACAAACAAGAAGCTCGAATTTTTCAAATCTTTGGTGATCAGGAGTCACCTTTAAACGTCCTTTCCAAAACCGACCGGCTGGAGGCATTTGTGTAATGTTCCTTCAGAAAGGGATGTTATATTACTTGTTTCCTTTTCATTTAACAGAGTGGAGGGTCCACATACATGTATGTGTTCAATCATCGCGCAAACTATTCACGTATGGCTGATTGGACTAGCGTTATTCATGGTGCGGAAATCCCATTTCTGTTTGGAGCACCTTTCAAGAAGATACCTGATCCTTGGAGCAACTCCATTGCAACAAAGTATTCCGAAACAGAAAAGGGACTAAGTTTGTACGTTATGGAACTCTGGACAAACTTCGCCAAGCACGGGTAAGGACACCTAAAAATAATTCATCATCATTCAGTGATCTCAAGGTTAGATTATATAGGTACTATCAAGGTGCGTCAAGGACATTGATGATCATGATTTAGAGTAAGGCCCATATCAGCTGAATGTATACGCCGTAGTCTTTTTTATCATAATACGCTGCAGAATGTCCCCTTCAACATTCATTCAACATTTGTTACAAATCTTTCCTGACGATACATGTATCATCCTAATCATCTACTATAATCATCCTTTTAGGCCTTTAAGTTCTTCGTATTAAGGCACTTTCATTCTCTCCTTTCATTGCCTCCCTTATAACGAAAACAATACGCGTATAAACCGGTTAATAACTCCACCCAATTACGGTCAATATAACATTCACGGAACCCCATAGACTAAGTTCCGCGATGTTTGAACACACTTGCCTTTTTAATGTCTCTCTTTAGGTCTCCAAATCCACCTGACGTTGGCCCTACAGCCATCACGTGGCCTGTATTTACAGAAGAAGAACAGAAGTATCTAGTTCTCGACATGAAACCGAGGGTGGAGCGTAGGTACAAGGCAAAAAAGATGGCATTTTGGAATCAAATGATTCCAAAACTGGCAAAGATCGTGACAGATGAGAGAAAAGACGCAAATGAAAAGGTTCCGAAGGATGAACTATGAGTAACTTTGACAAAAATGCGCCGTCCATTAAGCTGGAGAATTCTCCACTCAATTCAACGAAATTTAGCCTTTTAGCATCTGGACACCTATACCAGTGGGGGCATGATTAGCTTGTTACTGTACGGTTTAAGTGGCTGTCCACCTAAGAGCGGTCCGGCGAGTTTGGGATCGCCAGTAAACCTTCCCTTTATTTTTTGTGGGTGAAAAGGACTTAATAAGGAATGATTAAAATCGAGCTAAGTTTTTTCAAAATCCTTTTCTGTGCTTCGCTACAGCACAAAACTTCTTTCCTGTCTGAGAGCGCTTTTTCAACCTTGTTCGATGGCCGAAATTCGGTGATTTTAAAAGCCGCGCTTCTTCGTAACAGATAAATATCGCGAAATTCTACATAGTACAATGGATTTAGCTGCATTTGACTTGTCCTATGACGGAATATGGAATAAGTTTACGCAAAATTAAATTAAATTAATAAAATCAAACACAAGCCCCTTCGCGGTTTTTTTCTCCCTTGACAAATTCTTGGAAAGTAAAAGCTAAAATCTCCAAAGCGGTACAAAAATCACAGGAAAAATGCACTTCACAGCAAAGATCTTACCTTATTCTGTCAGAAAATAAAGTCAAAGGTGCGGGTATCGGTCTGGGTTGGACGTGATCAAACGTTTTTAAGAGTCTCTTGTCGGCATTATTTGCATAGATTTGCCTGTTTAACGGTTCACACAAAACGACTTAAATTTAGTAGATATTTTCTCAGCAGCTGAGAATGTTGTTGTGTATCCTCAAAATAACGAACATTTGTTTTCTTTTCACTAGCCTTTTTAAGTCTGTATAAATGAAAGCCGAAAAAAATGCCATAAACTGACATTCTTGATCAACCCGTCAGATATGCAAATCGTGCTTTTTTACGGCCAGGTTGTCCATTTCAGCTGTGTTAAAATCTAAAACTACGTACGGTTATTAACTTCTTCTCAAATGTAATCAATCTTCAGCTTGGAAACTCAGCAACTGAATACCCTTTTCAAAATAGAAATTTACCTCATATTCAATTTGAGTTTCTTTTTCCGTTTCGAGCATTTCACCATGATTTGAATTTGAATTCCCACAT